ATCTTATGTTGACAAATGTCCTCACTCAGTGGCCTCATGTAGATGTTTGAAGAGAGGGCAATAGTTTGTTGAGCCCCACAGCACTCTGAAAATCATAGGCTTTGGGCTTAATCCCTCCTCTCCCATCAATACCAACCGGAATCAACTACAGAAAAAGGAGAGCTACTGCAACACTGTTACTTCCACTTCCATTCATTGTAGTCAGTCACAAAAAATGCCATGACCAATGATACCAAAACTCCTGAGAGACCAAGGAGAGTCAAGGTAGTTGTACCACCTCTATTCTGGCTCTGCCAGAAGTCATCAACAAATAATTAATGCTATCTCAGCACTAAGGCCTGGCCTGAAATCTGACTCCAAATGTCCAGATAATTTAGTACTTTTATTTGATATATGGTTATATCTAAACACAGTGCATAGCTGTTGTTATTTATTAACAGTCTATACTACAACTACCATTCTCTATATGTGTCTGAGAATTTCTATGGGGGTTTACAATATCTGCTTATCAGTGTGGTTCTACTATTGTAATGAAATGGTCATTGAATATTTATGTTTCTGTTTAAGTTTACGAATCTAATTAGTAGTGGGGAAACTACCTGGGAATTCTAGGGTTAGATTAGGAAGCAAAAAAAAAAAAAAAATTCTGGAAGAACAAAATACCAAAACTTCTATTATATAAAGTGTGTGCATTTTAATGATAAGCAACTTGTAAAACAGATTTATATCAAGAAAAGTTCATACAATAATACATTATTAGGAGAAGCACATACAAAAATACCAATAAACAAACATGTGAATTTTTTAAAAAGCAGCAATAGAACACAATAGGTTCCTGAATAAATTCTGGAAGAACAAAATACCAAAACTTCTTCTATTATATAAAGTGTGTGCATTTTAATGATAAGCAACTTGTAAAACAGATTTATATCAAGAAAAGTTCATACAATAATACATTATTAGGAGAAGCACATACAAAAATACCAATAAACAAACATGTGAATTTTTTAAAAAGCAGCAATAGAACACAATAGGTTCCTGAATCCCTTATGGTAGACACCAAGCAGGTAAATAGTAGATTGAAAAAACTTATCTATGTCCCTTTTGTAGGCTTTCTAAGTTGTCTCACCTTGAAGTGGTTTCTATTTTGGATTGGGGAAAACTGGAATTATGGAAATTAGGCTTTGGTTTCTAATTCTGGGTATCTGTAAACCCCAGATAGTAGCTGTGGTGGCATGGATGACACCACAAGGCTAAGATTTTAGTTAAAGAGCTATGTACAAGGGAGGAGGGGTATGTGAATGAAAGATTGCAGGATGTGTTTATTTGTTAACCAGTTCATTTGCCTTACTGCATTAATCAAGTAGCGTCACAAATTTAATACTGGATATTAGTTTATGCTGCTTTTCTAATTTTTTACAAATAAATCTTAGGTTTGCTCTATATTCATATTATAATTTTAATCATTTTTCTTATAAACCACTCTGGGAATATGGTTGAAGGGGTAAGTAAATCCAGGTTATGCCTAGAAAATATATCTGGCCCATGATAATCTAGTGAGCTCAGGACTTTGAACACAGGTTCTCTCCATCCAAGTTGAACATTATATTATTTAACTATTCCGGCTTTAAATTGGCTTACTAGTTGTCAGTCTTAGTGCTATAGCATTGTAAGGAATTCAGGGTCTAAAGATAGCTCCTCTTGAACTATAATACAAGAAGATTTAATAATGCCTAACAGCTATGATAAAGAAGTGTATACAGAGAGAAAGAAAGAGGGAGAGATATGCCAGAACTATTTTTAGATTTTGACACTAAAATAGACAGCTCAATAATGCATTTTGAGCAGCCCATGCTGTAGCAGGAACCATGAAAATAGTTGTTTCTTGAGTTTCCCTCTTTTTGTTCAAAGTTTGTTGAAGATTATGATGTCAAAAGGTTAATATAAATAACTATATTTAATGTCACATGAGTGTTTTGTTTTAACTTCAAAGCTTTTACACACAACAACCTTTATTTTGAACAGAATCCAATTGTAGCTATTGATGAAGACGAATATAAAGAAGGTTCTATTTTCAGGGTCAAGATAGAAAAAAACTCAGTAATAATATTTGCAATCTGACCACATAAACCAGTGTTGTCCAAACTTGGCCACTTTAAGATGAGTGGACTTCAATTCCCAATTCTGGGAGTTGAAGTCCACTCATCTTAAAGTGGCCAAGTTTGGACAACACTGGCATAAACTGACAGGTAAAATCTCCTTAGCTCATGATCCACCTCTGGTGACCACATGAACATGTGCAGATAGCTTTCTTAGTATCAGTGCAGAAGTAGTCAGCCTTCTTCTGGGATTTTTTTTTAATTTCCCAGTCTAGCTTCTGACTCTGAGCTTTTCTGATACTGTCTATTTCAAGAATTAACTGTAACTGTCCTTGCTTACCCTTTTTCTTAATCAGTGAAGATTCTGCCAGCTGCTGTGAAGGCAATAGCTAACTACTCTACTTCCAAATGAAAAGTCTGAAAACTCAAGGGAACCTTTAACTTTACCATGTAAGCTGAAGCATTGAAATGGCAGATCCTAGCATTTGCTGTACATCTCCTAAAAGTGGACAATCCTTTCTCTTGACTTATACATCAGGAGCAGAAGCAAAGCCCTAAGTGCCTTCACCTCTACTTTCAAAATCCCAAAAGCATCAGAGCAGCTGTACCATTTAGATAAAATGAACAAAGGGCTGTTTTATTATTAATAATCAAGGGATTGGACCTTTCCTAACAATGTGTGTTCAAATCACAATATGACCTAAGAAATCAACTGCTGCAGCTGTGCCTCCACCAATGGGTGAAACCGACTCTTCATTTATGAAGATTCTGCATGAAGCAGATGCTTTGAATTTTCGAGCTAAGCTCATCTGTGATGCTCTCTGAATTCCATATTTGTGAGAATAAGTATTGCAGGAATCAAAGGTGGTTAAAGGTGGTTATAGTATTTCATCAGTGTAAAGTTCTACATGATTAGGTATGTTTATTAATTACTATTGGTTCTGGTGAGTCAGTTGCCCTTCAGGTGGATCACTTAGATTTCTTTGATGTAAATGAAATGCTATGTAGAGCTAAAAATGAATTTAGGAAGGGTAAATGGAATGAGATGCTATGATACTGTTGTGAGATGATGATGAGCAAATGTGAAACTGAAAATAAGAAAGGAGGTTGCAAACATTTTTTAATATTTAGTCAGGATAAATATTCACAAGACAAAATAGGTTTACACTGATATTAATGAATCAGAAACCATACAGATAGATCTATTTCCAAGTAAAGATGCATATACTTTCTAATATCTAGATACAACCCAGAAGATTGTTTCAGAACAGACTGTTCTAACTGTTCTGAAAGATAAGGACAGAAAAATAATTGACTAAATCTGATTTCAAATGCTGAATATTACATATTTTCTCATGGGAAATATTTTTAAATGAAAGGTTGAATGCATATACTAAAATTAGTTTAAAACAGCCTTGGTTTGTTTATGTGGCTACACAAACTATACAATGAACATTTCAATTGTAATTTTGAATCAGTTATAGCCTCACTGGCCTCATGATCCAGCCAAATTAAAATGCTTAAGCACCACTAAAATAAAGTTGAAATACTTTTGGATGAATTTTCTGACCTATGTGCAGTTGGGCAAAACTTACTTTCTATTCCGTAAATGCAAATAGTTTTCTTTTTCTTGTAGAGGATTGAGAACTGAGATGGCTTATCTATGTATACCCTACTTTAATGCTACTGAGTTATCTTATTTTTTGCAATTTTATTCATTTAAAGTTCTGTCATATTTACCTGTAATGGCGGGGGGGGGGGTGGAGGAAAAGCAAGATGAATTAACCATAGGATAGCTGAGAGTAGCAATGGGTGCCTGATGGATTAGTATGAGAATGTGAGTTTGTGATCCTCTTAAACTTGCTTGAAAAATTATTCCATTCCATTAATTAAAACTGGAGGTAGAACTACATACTACATTTAATATTAGAAGTAAATTAAAATATAATATACAAAAGCTTCACTATTATTTAAATCTTAAGAACCATTGGAAGAACATTAGAAGAAATTTCTCATTAGTCATACTAGAGTATTTCAAGAAAGCCAGAGGCTGAATGTAACAGTACATATTTGTATAGCCTGTATTCTTGCAGAAGATAAATTGTAGGAATGTGGAGAGGCTCTGAAATGGGTGTTATTTGAAGTTGTGGCTGTCAATCTACACAATCAAAGGATGGACTGTACAACTGGCAATTTAGGGCATGACCACTAACTTTATAATGCCTCTTTGGTTGAACAAAAGTTTTCTCAGTCTTAAAGAAAAGCACTGAGAATACTGTATCGGTCAAGTCCAGACTATCATCATCTAATACACTTTCCTGGATTATCTGTTTGTGGTGAACCTGAAAATGCCTCATTTGACAGATTGCTCTTGCTATCAGGTGAGCTAATTAAAAAAAAGATGCTTAGTAAATACAATTATTTTGTTAGTGTAATGACCACTTCTCTCTACATTTTTGGAATGTTTGCTGTTGGAGCATAACTGTGTAGACAGGTCTGAGTTCAGACAAGGTTTTAAAACAGTGTTTCAAGTTGCATAGTAACTATATATTGAATGATGCCTATTTGCCTTTTCAAAATACTTATTCCCATTAGTAGAATATTAACTGATAATTGGAAAATTTAGAAAAATGGTTTGAACTACCAGTATTTTCTTATTGGCTTGTGAATGTAGTATGGATAATTTAGATGCAAGCAGTAGCAATAGTAACTATCTAGCTGTATTAACATTCAAAGGTTATAGGTTTCAAGTGAAATATAACTGGTCACACTGTTACCAAATTCCCATATCAGAAATTTGTTGATCAGGCTTACACAGGAAAAATGACATGATCAGAAATTTGTTGATTGGGCTTACAAAGGAAAAATGACATGTCAGGATTTTTTCCCCCTTCTTTTCAGGTTCAAACCCACCTGGAAAATCCAATGAGGTATCACATTCAGCAAATTCCACAGAATCAAGTGAAGCAGCTCCTGACATTGGATGCCAAGTTGTCTAGCCAACCTCTATCACTGCCTCATTCCCATTCAATAACTTCTTCAGGATCTACACCTATATTAAACAGCGGTCATATGCCTCCTACTAGTAATATCAGCATTCCTGAAAGTCCAGTAACCAAGATACTAACTCTTGGAGGAGAACATGAAAATGGGGTACGGCATATAGCTGTGAGATTAGCTCAGAGCAAGCTGTCAAAATGAATGGAGCTGACAGAGAGGAGAACAGTTCTCCAACTTGTTCAGCACTGCTGTTTAAATAGTACGAGTTAAGTAACGATGACTTCAGATGTTAGTTTTACTGACTGCATCTTTAAAGCTTGCACATTAAAGATTCATGACTTCATTGTGTATTTGGATATCACAAGCAATGCATCATTATTAACAAGTCTTTGATTACAATATCATAACTGCTTAATGATACATTGTTTATATGATGTGCTAAGAAGTCATTTTTATTTTTCCAAGGAGTCTGACCATAGGTGAACAATCTATGTGGAAAAAAAAATGGTAGGGTTAATGCTTGTTACTGGAGATTTTAAAAAAAATTTCCCTAAAAGGATGATGTCTTGAATTTTAGTCTCCCCCTCTGAAAAGGGAGATACCAGCAACCCTTATTAGTCCTGTTTACCATATTTTCAGTATCTAAGACAACCTTTCCATTTCAAACAAAATTATTGGGCAAACTGTAGCCTTTCTTCCATGTAAATACACTATAAGTGTCTTTTGCTTCAGCAAATAAGGGTTGTAGAATTATTGAATTCTATAGCTTATAAGCATATTATTTAATAATATAACAACTCCTATTCTGCAAACATAGACACTAGGGCTGTCCAGATCTTTGAGGAGGTGGGTTGGTTTTGACAGAGACTGAAATGAATCACTCCTTGGAAAATGGTTTTATAAAGCAGTGTGTTCCCTCACTTCTAGGAGTAAAGCAATAGTATGTGCCCTTCCTAATTTTCAGACTTTGTTCCTTCTATTATAGAACATTCTTCTTGACCAATTTGAAGCCACTTCAGTTGTTGGAATTCTCATGCCTTAGGTTCATGGCCAAAATACTGATTTTCCAGAGGTAGAAAGTTACACCCAAATTCTTTGACCTCATTCAGTTATTTTTACAGTGTTCAGAACCATTATTTCTGCCATCTGGTCTACCTACTCTTAGTTACTATTTCTCTTATTGCTGTAAATTAGTCACATAAATGATCCTAGCTAATGAAAGGTCAGAAATAATTAATAAGATGTTGTTATCATAACTAGCCACATAGTTTTGGCTATGAGATGTATATCCCATTGAGAGAGAAGGAAATGCATTTTGGATTAGTCATGTGAGATTAGTCATGTAATCTAGCTGATTAGAGATAATCAGGAAATAGGATAAAATCAGTAAATAACTGAAATCAATCTGATTGGCTGAACACAAATCATATTTCAGAGAGGCAGCAGTCTAGGACTTCACTGAATATTTCCTCAAATTAGTATTTCTATTCCCCCCCCCCCAAATCAACAAATAGCTGTTTAGTTCAAGTGTTAGATATTTCTTTCTTCTCTGTTCTTTCTCCAAAGAGCTCAGAAAATCTTACATATTGTTTCCAAGTGATCTTTAACCCACATGGTATATAGGAACCATTCCACCTCATTTTAGAAGGATCACTGCATTGTGTCCTTTCAGACCATTCTCTGGAAGAAGGCTATCTCATAAAGAGGAGATACGTTTGCCAAATATTATTTGTTTTTCATTGGGTTTTGTACTTCAGTGTACAAAGTATACTGTACTTCACTCAGAGTATGTATCATTGATCTTCCTTTGGAATGAGCGTGTGTAGGATTGTACTGTGAGTTCCACTATTAACTATTCATTTTCACTCATTAGCAATTCTTGTTATATTAGATGGAAGAAGTTATTGATGATATAATCAACATGGAATCAAATTTTGATGATAAAGGGATAAGTCGCTCTGAAACACCACTGCTCATGCCAAGAGTGGTAAGTAATTATTGGCATAGTTTTTTATAAGAGCAATTGTGAATGTGGGTAAAAATTGTAGTTTAGAATTGTAATCAGATAAAATGTGTTGTTTATTTTGCATTCTCTTGTCAAACTATCCTTTGCAATAACAAATTGTAGATAGGTGAAGTAGAAAGCCACATTGGTTCAAAGTTGTCTACCTATGTTGACTTAGATTATAAATTGTGAATTTATGGATTCATCTATTTACTACAATGCCTTTAATATTTTTTGTTTTTTTCACCAGTTTGTGGTCACTTTTTTCAGAAAAAATCATGCAGAACAACATGCATGACTCAAATTCCTTAGCATTTATTTTATTTTTATTTGCAATTTATTTGATAAGACACTTCTATGAGAATGCAAATTATTGCAGAGAATATATGCCTTACTATTTTCATATCAGGCAGTTGATTTTAATTATTTAACTATCCTGTAGGTGTGAAAAAATATGAACAAGAAAGGTATAGGATATACTTACAGACTTAGCAATTGTTGTTGAAATTTACTATTGTCAAACATAATAATGAAGTACATTCTCCTATATACAAATTACAATTTAGTATAATACTTTATTATTAAAATTCCAACTCCCTCTATCAACATTTATGAACAATTAATAAAAGTCAAAGTTTTCTCTCCTCTGTCCCCACAGAAATTGAACTCCTAGGCTCAAATATTACATTTAGACCATTATGGCACCTGAAGTAATGTTGTTGATATGAGCGATTTCTAGTCAGTAATTACTATGATCATTAAAGTTTAGTACATGTTTGATGGGGAAGGAGCTGACTAAATATTAACAACTCTATCACTAATCTTAGCTGACTGGAAAAGGCTGCACAAGACATCAAGGCAAATGTCTTTGTCAAGCACATTTTACACTAGATCAGGCATAAAGACCAAGGAAGAATCAAAGGTCATTTGGTATATCAGCTTCAGCAATTGTCAGTATGTTATATATGCAGGGCTTCCAAAAACAAAAATTAACAAGAAAAGCAAGCATTAAATTATGTGGAATGTCTATACTGATTTTTTTAAAAATAGTAATATTTATTTACTTAGTTAAGAATAATGAATGCTATATAGTATGATTCAGTAGAGCTGATTTTAGATTGTAAAACAACTACAAGTGGTCCTCATTTAACAACCATTCATTTAGTGACCATACAAAGTTACAATGGTGCTGAACAAAGGGACTTACAACCAGTCCTCACACTTACAACTGTCACAGCACCCCCACAGTCACATGATCATGATCCAGGCACCTGGCAACTAGCTCTCACTTACGACGGTTGCAGCATCCCAGGGCACATGATTGCCATTTGCTACCTTCCCAGCCAGCTTCCAGCAAGCAAAATCAATGGGGAACTATGTGATTTGCTTAACAGCCATGGTGATTCACTTCATGAATGCTGCAAAAAAGATTGTAAAATCAGGTGTGACTTGCTTAACAACTGCCCTGCTTAACAATGAATTTTCCGGTCCCTATTGTGGTCATTAAGTGAGGACTACCTATAATCAAGAATATAAACCAAGACTGGAAATTTGCAGAATTCCTATGCAGGAGTAACAAGAATTGAAGAGTTGGCAATGGTATACCATTAAATGTGTCCCCTTGCTCAAAAGATTTAAGGCAAATCTCACAGAAGGAGAAATTTCATATATGTTGTGAGGTTTATTATTAAGTTTCAATCTCAGACTTAATGGATATGATTTATGACCCCCAAACTAGCTGCAATTAACATATAACTGGAAAAGTTGTATGAAACGTTTAGAATTGCTCCCACTGGTTTCAGCGAATTGGCAAATGTTTGAACATTCAGTGGATCTAATAATAATTGTTAAATGTGCTAATAACAAGGAGAAAGAAACAGCTCACAGTGTACAATATGCATCCATATGCTGTGCCTGGAGTATCATTATCTATCAGTGATGGAAAGCAAAGCTTTTCCCTCCATTCAGCTTCTTCTGGAATGTGGCTGGGTAGAATGTGGTATATTGATTGTGTCCCACCTACAATACATTAAGCACATATGGATTCCATTTTTACAACATAAGAATATTGCACATTATTTCCCTCTCTCTTAGAGAATCTTGCCTTCTTTCTTTTTTTTTTTTTAGCATAGCACTCATGTCCATGCTGAGACAAATGCAGATATCCAACATGCAAAGTCCCTCCATTTTTCTTTTATTTCAATAGAATGTAGCTCCAAGAAGATCTATCTTTTGATACCAGCTTTCCTGGTTAAGTAACATATAACTGCATAATTTTATGACTAGGGTGTGATTTCATAGAGCTGTTTTGTCTCAGTGTGCTCTGTTTCCTCTCACTGACACCTAGTATATTCCTAGATGTGTCTGTACTAATACTTCTTCAGAAGGAACTGTACTTTTGAAACAATTCGGCCACCACCATGTTTTGTTCTGCCTAATTTGTACATAAAATATTTGCATAATGTTTTTGTTTGGAATCAAACTTGCTGTTTTCCTTGTCATAAATTAGAATTTAGTTGGTAAATACTTGCTTGCTTGCCATGTAAACAACAAACTACTAGGTCACCTAGTTTCTTTTAAATCAGTATAACTTATTTAAGAGAGTATCAGCATAGGATCCATGCCCGCCTCCACTGAAATTCATTGTGCCTCTACTCTGTCCCCATACAAACATTTCTGGAGTGACCAATGGCTGTGTTTCTTAAACATGGCACTTTAGCATCCTATAGAAATTTGGTTTTTTACTATGCATTTATTGGTAATAACATCATGATACTCTTTTTGTTGGTTATTTCTATTTTATTGCTTATTAAAATGGGTATCTCAGTATCATGGGAGTTTAAGTGACATTCTTAGCAAACTTGATAGTTGCCAACAGTACCCATGTTTCCTCATTAGCTTTTAATTAAGCCTTAAGCTATAGATAATGTAATGTTTATTATGAACTTTTTCACACAAAAATGTAAATCCATATCAGTACTGTATTGTATAATTTACTCTAGTTTTTGATTCAACTCCTATCTACAAATGGGATAAGTAATAAAGTTATAAAGTTTCTAAGGCTGCATGCATAAAAGGGAGTAACCATCAATCAATCCATATGATATTTCACAGGTAGAATATGGTTTGAAGTCTGTTAATTCATGAGATATTCCACAGGTAGAACATGGCTTGAAGATGCATCTTATGGCCCCATCTTGGTATAATGTGAAAGTGGGGTGTGCAAAGCACCTCCCACATGAACAAATATTAGTCTGGCATCCAAATGATCCATATACACATTTTAAGGCAATCCTGATCACATAGATCACTTACACAAAAGCAGCTGCTAATGTGTAGAAGTTATTTTGCAAAGGGGGGGATTGATATCAGTCCCACTTGGTGGGCTAGACCAGGAAATCAACTCCATGGAAACCCTAAAACTCTTCTTTATTGGGACTGGCTACAACATAGATTCTTGCAAGCCTGGTTGTGCTTTACCTCCCTTTTTTCTTATACCTCAGTTGTTCACTATATATTTGTTCTTTGGACAGCCCATATTCCTTACTTCTCTGTAAGCATTGAGATCCTAATGTGTATTTAAAAAGAATGGACAGAGAAAAGGAAAACATTTGATCACTAAATCCTTTGTGCATTAATGACACGCTGCTAATTTACTGTCATGCCATTCTTCCTTAGAAGGGCTTTGCTTTGTTTTGCTACTCTGACTTTCTCTAGTTGAGGATGCAGACTATGTCCTTTAAAAGATTATCTCCATGAACAATTAGTTGAAGTAAGAGTTTTAATGAGGACTACTACAGCTGTATGTTTCATTCATCCCATACTGGCAGGAGGCAGTCCTCTCGTATTCATTGTAGTAAATATCCAGATCATTGTAGCATAGTGGTTAAAATGTTAGCAGGAATGTCTGTGAGGTGTGGGCAAAAAAGGAAAGATGGCAGCCACAACAGGATAATCAAAATTTTGCCTGTTTTTTTATGCATGATGCACACCTTTGATTGTACCATCACAGCTGTCAACTAGACTTTTTAACCATATCCTGCTGACGCTTGAATGTCAGAGTTGGACTGCTGGTGACTTTGGGCTAATCACTCTGAGCCAAATCTATCTCACAGACATTCTAAGAAAAGGATATCAATTTTGAAAGGAAGGGAGGGAGAGGGAGAGAGAGGGAGAGATGGAGATGCTTTAATGAAAAATCAAGTTTCTTTATATCCTGCTATGGAATTATCATCAATAAATAACCACAAGCAACCGGTTGAGAAGATATTCTAAAGTCTGGCTTAAGGAAAGACTTTGTTTTACGCTGTGAGAAAGTCAGTCCTGTCCAGGCAGATGTATTCTACTGGAAATGAGCTAAAAACACATGTGATCAGAAATCTAGCATTAAAATTGATATTGCAGCATTGTACACTTAAGTTGGGATTCCATTTGAAGAAAAGGGCCACAATATAATTACTTATCAGCTGCTGACCTATTCTATTAAAGATTTTCTAGTTAATACCACTGCTCTGTTTTCATTATTTAGCTTGAACACTGTTCTCCTTGGATGTTCTGGTTTTCCAATATTGTCTGCCTCATCCATCCGCTTACTATACAATCAAACTCAGCAATTTTGCTTGCCTAGTACAAGGACAAGTGTTACCTTGAAGATAAAAGGTCTTGTAGATGGGCAGTTAAATCACAGAGAATTGAAAATAAACAATTAAAGTTACTTCAAGGTCATTTCTGCAGCTTGCAGCTAATAATCAAACAGTCTCTCAGCCTGTTTGTGAACAGGCTTAATAGGCTTGGCCAAAGAGAATACACAAAGGACCACTGTTTCCAGTTCAGAAGGGGAAATATATTTTGATAGTTTTGATTTCATTGTGTCAGTAGCTGCACTAGAGGCAGTGGACCAGTTGGTATTCAAAGGAACAAAGTCAATGCATATTTTGTAGTTCATCTGCAAAGCTTCAAAGATTAACCATGGACATGTTGGC